TCGTCTTTCATGTATCTAACTTCATTCTCAAGATTAAGGAAAAGCAGACAAATAAACAGACGGATGACAGTGGGAATTTATAGGTCTACAATTTTTTCAAATTGCAGTCCAATCAGCCATCACATGACATGATGTAGTGCACTCATGAGACTGTCAGGTGAACATAGAATTATCATAAAAACTATTCTATCATGAAGTTATTGATGACTGAAAAATACTCAAAATCCCATAAAAAATTGGTGAAACCAGGTTGAAAAATAAAGCTCACTGAAAACATCTAAATAAAGAAAACCTTTAAATGTAACATAAGAACACTGGAACCAGATTTGAAATGTGAATAAAGTGCACATTACACAGACAACTATGAGAACTTTTGGATGAAGCAATATCACCATGATATCAGGAAAACAAACACCATTATAAAAACCTGTTTTTATAATGGTGTTTTGCTTCAAGCTTACTTTGAACCTTAAAGTTGTTGTACCTACATTAATTTGGCTGAACATTAAAGCACCTTTGAGCAATATTAGTGAAGGATCAAAGTAACGCTTGAAGCCTTGTACTGTGTTGGTGCTTGTTTTCTTGCTTTATTACACGATGACATTGCTTCATCCAAAACTTCCTGTAGTTGTAAGTCTGTGTAATGTGCACTTTATTCACAAGTTGAGTCTTACTGTCAAGTTTGGTCCAGTATTATGCCACAACTTTCAAAACCTTTCTTTGTTTAGATGTTTTCATTGAGCTTTGCTTAAGTGTTTTTTCTATGGGATAAACATAAAAAGCATGTTATTGCACAAAATCAACATTCACAATGATTCATGTGCATATAATAATAATTTTTCAAAAATGTACTGTATACATTCACAAAAGCTATACATGCTCTGAGCATGACAAATCCTGTTTTAAATGTATTGTTCTTGCAATTGCTTATGGGAAGCAAAATACATTGGTCACTCATATTACTGAAACAAAATGTGCACATTAGCCTTAATAAAGTGATGTTCATTCAGCACAATACAATGTAGACTGTATAGTTTTCCAAATTACATTGCATAGAAGTTTGAGGTCCTCCTAACTATTCATAAAATGATATTAATGGAATTGTTTCATCTGTGGGATCAGGACATTATGGCTTCTTCTGCCTCCACAACATGGTATTCTAATTAAGTTCATTTTTGGATCATTTCAAATATGTCTATGATGTGTAATTGCTTATAGCTCTGCACTTTCTTTGCATAATGGGTCTTTAGTGTCCAAACAAATTCCTATTCATGAAATACCAGTATGCCAGATTATGAGGCACTGGATTAAAAACAAACTTCTACTGTATCATTAATTCCCATTTTTTTTATTTTATCCTATTTGTAGTTTATTCTTGTTTTTGTCATTGTGGCAAGAGGTCTGCAAATTAAATCTAATTTTGAAAAGAGGCCAAATAAGCAAAATAGGTTGGAAACCCTTTATGTATGTACTTGTATACTTTGTATGATATTTAAAACTAGTTAAATAGTAAATCTTTTCAAACTTACAGCTGGTTGTAAAGCTGGCAATGGAGTTTCAAACTGTGGTGTAATTAAACGTAGAGGTTCATGTTTCATATTTAATTCTTCATATGCTCTATTATAAATCAAATTGATTTCATTTAGATTTCTAATGATTTAGTTGAATATTCAGTAAGGTCAGATAACTTACTTGATCACTTTTGGTAATACTCTATTATCTAATTGAAAGAGAGCTGTATCAAACAATTTGGTATAATCTGTTGGAACTTCTTCACTTTCCTGTAAACAACTAAAAGGCTGTTCTGACAATTTACTGATAGATGGTATTGTATAATAGTCTGATATCTGAAAGAAAAATAATAATAAACAGAAAAGCTTTACTCTCTAGACAGATAGACATTAAATATTATACATGAAAGTTTCCAGATTAGAATTGATCTAATTGGTAACAAATAACTACTAGGTTATAGTCTAATAAAATATTTTTATTATACTGGATTAAATCTAAATGATATTAAATCATTCACATATACAAAGCAATAACTCCAAGTTTGAATCTTATTTAGATATTTTTCAGACATCTGAAAAAGTTAATAATTACAAAATTTGAAATAATTTAGTTTTCAAAAGAAGATGACACACTAAATTTCAAATTTTCAAATCATTAATTAAGTACCATAACTTTGTATAGATAGATTTTTAGGTTATCTGTGTTTAAGAGTCAGTTTGAAAGTAAGTGTGGATTATGCAATGATATTGGTTAACTGCTGATTTTAACATGCAATTATGAATTCATTAAACAGCTTTTCATTTGTTTAAACTTACCAAGTCTTTAAAAATATGAAATATCCTTTTTACGCTGCAGACATTCATCTGCCATTGGAATTTTTTCCAAAATCACTAGCCACGTATTATATATATACTTCAGCTTTAGTTTTTCCTATTCATTTGCTATGCATCAACTGTATGTTTTAGTTGGTATTATTGAATACTTGTATTTGAAGTTATCAACTTTCATGAAACAAGTTTCTGGTAATTCCTCCTCTATTTAATTAATAATTCTTAGAAAATTATTTAGAAGATAATATTTACAAACTGACTATTAATTTTTTTAAATTTTGACCTATTTTAGTTATCTACAGCTAATAAGAACTAAGTGATCAATTCTTGAACCTTTATCATTGGATATTACAAACATAAAAAAATTGAATAGAAAAAGTTTTATAGAGTTGATTTCAGCAGGTTTTATTATTAAATATTTAATTAATACTCATATTACATTGGGTGATCACAATTAAACTTAATATTGCACAATGTGATATTTATTTTCAAAGCCCGAAGATGATGAACAATATTTTTATAGCTGACTTATTGTAATTAATCCTTTATAATGCATCTCAAATGCAGTATTGTATTGTCTCTTAGGGCTGCTAACTTTACAATATATCCTTGATAAACCACACTTTTTAAGTATCTCACAATCAAAGATCATACAGATTAAGATCTAGAAAATGAAGGGACCAAGCAATAAGAAATACATGACTGAACACACTTTTCTCAATGAAATGTCATTGCAGGAAATTAACAAAGTGCTATATACAATCCCAATAAGTAATGGTTCTCCATCTTGAATGAAAGTAGTTGACTCAAGCCATTGTTATTATTGCAGTTGGGGTATAACATAAATGATGAGCACCTCATTGTATCTTTGGACCATTACAGAGTATATCCCAGGCCCATTGGAACTATCTTCTTTGAAAAAAAATGGTCCAAGGATAAATGTTGTACCAAAGTATAACTTTATGCAAATGTATTGGAATCTTCTGGAAAATAGAGTTTTCTGCAGCCTAAATGTGATAGTTATGGATGTTCACTGTTCCATTGTGTGGAACATGGCCCATTTTAACCTCAATCTTCCATGGCCTTTCCATTCTAGCAAGAAAGGTTAATGGAAAGGTCAGTTGCGTTTCCCTGTCAATTGCAAGCAACTGTTGGCTGTGGCTGATCTTAAATGGATAATAATGCACTAACTTTCTCAGTATCTTCTACACTGTGCCATAGGATAGACTGAACTGCCATGACACTGTACATGCACTACTGGAGATGCAACATTAATTATTGACTGTTCAACAACAGTTATGGTAACATTTTCAACAAGTAAAAATGATTGTTTCACATTATGAAATGATAGGTTTGTATTCTCAATTTGGTTGAATTCCCAGATTCAAGTTTCCTTGAATAAAGTGATCATTCTCCTGAGAGCTTATGAAGTCAATAGTTCTTGCCATAAATTTTTATGACATGCAGCTACAACATTGTCATTGTTTTCATAAGGCAACTTCACAAGAAATGCATGTTCCAGCAAGATAGTCATTGTAGATGATAAAAATATATTCAGCAGTTATGGCCACTTTTACACTCAGAACTTGACTGCAACACAGTTGCTTATGTAAAGGAAACTGTGTTTTTGTTGCTTGCAGTGCTAAAAGTGCCTAGTGATTAGTTTCAGTACTAATCTTTTTTATGAAAATGTCTGCATATCCTGAAATATCACCATACCAGATTTAGTTGCAGTTGGATTGCAAAATCTCTCTCTAGACAGTACTGAATAGAGGTACATTAATTATGATCACCCAGTATAATAAATGAAATAAAACTGAAGTGAAATTTAAAAAAATTTTTGTCATTCGGCTACCATTTTGTGTTTTCAACACTTAGAACATTTGAATTGGAACTGTATAAATTGCATTGTTTTCCATTTCACTTATTTATAAATATATTTATAGCAAACTGTCTACAAAGATAAAAATGAATGAAGTGAGGAAGAATGGAATGCTTGAAAAGATACCTTCTAAACTGAATTACTTGATTACTGATAATTTCATTTTCCACAGCTACTTTGAAGGTATGACTTATGCAAAAATTTAATTCCTGTTCTAGAAATTTTTGATGAGATATATTAAAGTGATGTTCATTCAGCACAATACAATGTAGACTGTATAGTTTTCCAAATTACATTGCATAGAAGTTTGAGGTCCTCCTAACTATTCTTAAAATGATATTAATGGAATTGTTTCATCTGTGGGATCAGGACATTATGGCTTCTTCTGCCTCCACAACATGGTATTCTAATTAAGTTCATTTTTGGATCATTTCAAATATGTCTATGATGTGTAATTGCTTATAGTTCTGCACTTTCTTTGCATAATGGGTCTTTAGTGTCCAAACAAATTCCTATTCATGAAATACCAGTATGCCAGATTATGAGGCACTGGATTAAAAACAAACTTCTACTGTATCATTAATTCCCATTTTTTTTATTTTATCCTATTTGTAGTTTATTCTTGTTTTTGTCATTGTGGCAAGAGGTCTGCAAATTAAATCTAATTTTGAAAAGAGGCCAAATAAGCAAAATAGGTTGGAAACCCTTTATGTATGTACTTGTATACTTTGTATGATATTTAAAACTAGTTAAATAGTAAATCTTTTCAAACTTACAGCTGGTTGTAAAGCTGGCAATGGAGTTTCAAACTGTGGTGTAATTAAACGTAGAGGTTCATGTTTCATATTTAATTCTTCATATGCTCTATTATAAATCAAATTGATTTCATTTAGATTTCTAATGATTTAGTTGAATATTCAGTAAGGTCAGATAACTTACTTGATCACTTTTGGTAATACTCTATTATCTAATTGAAAGAGAGCTGTATCAAACAATTTGGTATAATCTGTTGGAACTTCTTCACTTTCCTGTAAACAACTAAAAGGCTGTTCTGACAATTTACTGATAGATGGTATTGTATAATAGTCTGATATCTGAAAGAAAAATAATAATAAACAGAAAAGCTTTACTCTCTAGACAGATAGACATTAAATATTATACATGAAAGTTTCCAGATTAGAATTGATCTAATTGGTAACAAATAACTACTAGGTTATAGTCTAATAAAATATTTTTATTATACTGGATTAAATCTAAATGATATTAAATCATTCACATATACAAAGCAATAACTCCAAGTTTGAATCTTATTTAGATATTTTTCAGACATCTGAAAATTTAATAATTACAAAATTTGAAATAATTTAGTTTTCAAAAGAAGATGACACANCAGCCAGTCCGTTGCTCGAGTCACGTAACGGCCAAACAGAAAGTCTGTTGTTCGCAGTGTCCACTATTCAAGGCGTACGGTATATGAGGCACCACTGTATTTCTAATGCAAAGATGATAAAAATTATTTGAAATGTACCTTATTAAATAGAAATACATATGCATACCTTAAAATTCAATATAGGCACTGGTGCTATCTACCAATGACATGTTTTACTGAAACCATGATGTGGATGGATGGCCACTTCTCTGAGCAGCAACAAAGCTTCAAATGACAATTCTTGAATGTTTCTAGATGGATTGTGGTGCAATTTCCCTTCACTGTATGAAACCATCTCTTCACAGCAATCACTGAATTCCACAATTCTTAGAATGCAGCAATCTGCACTCATTCCTGAACAGACAAGTGGTTAGCTATCTTTTTTGCCACTGCATATGCATACTTTCTCAGTCATTGCACAAACCACCAATGCAGGAATTATAAAATTCATTGATTGATGTATATGTGCGCACAAATTTTATTTGATTGCATTATTATTACAAAAATTATAGTAATTTCTCAATGCTTAGTTACTTTCTACCCATTCTAGTATAAAACCAACATCCATCTAATATATAAAGAAGAGAGTTTGTTAGTTGATTTGTTCTTTTTACATTTCAACAAGTTTCAGAAATACAATAAAACTTTTCAGGGACCATCCTCTCATCCAAGTCAACAACTACTTTTGATGAAATTAACTTTAATCTGCAACAGGTCCCCTTCTATCTAGCCAACATTCAAATAAGAAAATTGCTTAATACAAAATTACCAGCAAATACAAATTATGTTTTTAAGGATTTTCAAGGCTCCTAGCTTAAATATTTGATGCATTTTTCACAAAATTTGATTGGTTGGCCAACCAATCAAATTACCATTTCATAACCAGCTGTGAATTATATGTTAGTTAACATTAGAAAAAATTTGGATGTCTTGAATTTTCTTGTGCAAGCAAAAGTCAAACAACTATCTTCTGTTGAAAAACACCAATTCCTGTGTAAATGACCAATGAAATTATGTCATTCCATACTGGCTGAGTATCACATTCTTAGTAAGTACAAAGCATTTTCCAGAGTGCTGAGTGCAAATCTTTGATCCATTTGTCTTGAATCTAATTATTTATTTTATTTTTTTTTGTTACTTGAATTTAAATAAGATCAATTTATATTTTCTTCTTCAAAGATTTTGTCTTTTTTGTTCTGTTTATTGCATTTTCTTTTTTCTTATTATACACTCTTCAAAAATGAAATTGCAACACCATGAATATGTGTAACCACATGTAAATTGCAGAACCAGTAGAGGTGATAGAGATTTGCAAATAAGTTTGCATATGCATCAGGTCATGTGGTAGCCAGTTTCAAGCTATAAAGACCAGCAGCTAGTTCAGACTGTAAATGCTATTAGCAATGGTTTGTAGCAGCCAAACTTTTGAAGAAACATAGATAATGCGTCAAAGATGACAGTGAGTTGAATACCATCAATTAATGGCTGGGAATGGGCCATATCCTGGAGCTTCATGACATCGGTTTGTCAATGTGCACAGTTGCCATGCACATGCCCAACATGCAATTGCATGTTGGGCATGTGCATGGCATAATGTGAGTACCATTCAGCAATGTGTGACATGATGAACACAAGAACATCTGTGAACCTGTGAACATGTTGAAGAGGGAGTGGATTGCAGTGGCACACAACAGAGCAAACAGACCAGCAGTTTTGCTAAACACTCTGTTGGGACCATTTGCCATGGAACATGACATCCGAAGCCATCTATCACCATTAACAGGTGGATCTGTGTCCACCCAAACCATTCACAACAGGTTCACAAAGTAGGGCTGTATGCCTGGCATAGTGTCATTGTCATCACAATTGGACCACTAATTGGCATTGGGTATTGTTTACAGATAAATCCCACTTCTGTCTATGGAGGAATAACAGGTATGGCAATATTCCACATCTATCATTCCTCCAATCTGTGCCAGTCCTTTTTGCTGAGCATCACATTGGCCCTAAACTGGCCATCATGGTTTGGGGAAGCATTGTATCAGACAGCCCTGGTACATATTTCTGGTACTCTGACAATGGATCAGTATGTCATAAGAATTGTGGGGGCCTGTATTTTGGTCACTGGTTCAGGCCACACCTGACATGATGTTCCAGCAAGATAATTCTCAACTGCACATTGCATGGTGAATTCTCACCAGCCTGAATAGAATTCATATCTTTCCCTTGCCAGCAGCCTCGCCGAATCTCTCTCCCATTGAACACCTGTGCGACATTGTCTGACATGAGGTGCGCCAGAGACCACAGCTACATACAATAGACAACATGCATGCTGCAATGGCAAGCTTAGCAAGGGATATCTCAGGCAACCATTAATCAAGGGATAATCAGGCAACCATTCTTTTAATTATTTGCATATCTCTATCACCTCTACTGATCCTGCAATGTGCATACAGCTATGAGCATTCCTTCATTGTGTTGCAATTTCACTTTTGAGAAGTCTAGTTTATTTAACACTTTGGAATAACCACGACAATGGTCAGCAAAAATAACTAAACTCTTAATACAGTTTTCATTTTAATGCTTGTTCTTACTTTTTGCCCAGGCAATCTACTAATAATAAAATATCAAATTAACAAATTGTCAATTCACTTGTGTAAGCAAAGGATACATAATTCAAATAAATTTGAAAGATTGCTTATATCTGAAAAATGCATGTTATTGGAAAAAGTTAATTTTGCAAATTATACAGCTTTTTTGGAAAATTTCACAAATGTAGTTGTAATATTTTTCATCTAAAAGCAAACATTTTTAAGATAATTTAAAATTTTGTGCACAATATCCTTTTTCCTGTAATTAAATTTCTCTGACAGCCTATTAATAAAATATGATTAAATTTCAGAAATGAAAAATAAACAAATATTTATGATGATAAATCTAATTTTAATAAATGAACAGTTATATCATTGGCCTGATGATGGCTGGTTGATCAGGTTGTTTGTTTAAAGTAATAAAGTTGGTTCTCAGCAATATAAAGTGTGTGTTATATCATTTGCAAAATTTTGTAGATAGACATACTGGAAAGTTTATAGTTTATGGATGTAAGTAATTATTCTTTTGGGTTATAAGAAACCTCTATAATAGGGATAATTTATTAAAAATCCTTTTTTTTTTTTTTTTTTANCAGTTGCCATGCACATGCCCAACATGCAATTGCATGTTGGGCATGTGCATGGCATGATGTGAGTACCATTCAGCAATGTGTGACATGATGAACGCAAGAACATCTGTGAACCTGTGAACATGTTGAAGAGGGAATGGATTGCAGTGGCACACAACAGAGCAAACAGACCAGCAGTTTTGCTAAACACTCTGTTGGGACCATTTGCCATGGAACATGACATCCGAAGCCATCTATCACCATTAACAGGTGGATCTGTGTCCACCCAAACCATTCACAACAGGTTCACAAAGTAGGGCTGTATGCCTGGCATAGTGTCATTGTCATCACAATTGGACCACTAATTGGCATTGGGTATTGTTTACAGATGAATCCCACTTCTGTCTATGGAGGAATAACAGGTATGGCAATATTCCACATCTATCATTCCTCCAATCTGTGCCAGTCCTTTTTGCTGAGCATCACATTGGCCCTAAACTGGCCATCATGGTTTGGGGAAGCATTGTATCAGACAGCCCTGGTACATATTTCTGGTACTCTGACAATGGATCAGTATGTCATACGAATTGTGGGGGCCTGTATTTTGGTCACTGGTTCAGGCCACACCTGACATGATGTTCCATCAAGATAATTCTCAACTGCACATTGCATGGTGAATTCTCACCAGCCTGAATAGAATTCATATCTTTCCCTTGCCAGCAGCCTCGCCGAATCTCTCTCCCATTGAACACCTGTGCGACATTGTCTGACATGAGGTGCGCCAGAGACCACAGCTACATACAATAGACAACATGCATGCTGCAATGGCAAGCTTAGCAAGGGATATCTCAGGCAACCATTAATCAAGGGATAATCAGGCAACCATTCTTTTAATTATTTGCATATCTCTATCACCTCTACTGATCCTGCAATGTGCATACAGCTATGAGCATTCCTTCATTGTGTTGCAATTTCACTTTTGAGAAGTCTAGTTTATTTAACACTTTGGAATAACCACGACAATGGTCAGCAAAAATAACTAAACTCTTAATACAGTTTTCATTTTAATGCTTGTTCTTACTTTTTGCCCAGGCAATCTACTAATAATAAAATATCAAATTAACAAATTGTCAATTCACTTGTGTAAGCAAAGGATACATAATTCAAATAAATTTGAAAGATTGCTTTTATCTGAAAAATGCATGTTATTGGAAAAAGTTAATTTTGCAAATTATACAGCTTTTTTGGAAAATTTCACAAATGTAGTTGTAATATTTTTCATCTAAAAGCAAACGTTTTTAAGATAATTTAAAATTTTGTGCATTATATCCTTTTTTCCTGTAATTAAATTTCTCTGACAGTCTATTAATAAAATATGATTAAATTTCAGAAATGAAAAATAAACAAATATTTATGATGATAAATCTAATTTTAATAAATGAACAGTTATATCATTGGCCTGATGATGGCTGGTTGATCAGGTTGTTTGTTTAAAGTAATAAAGT